AGTATATAATAAAAAAAATTAAATGGAAAAATAAAATTGAAATTCAAATGTAAATTTAAAAAATAAAAACAGCAATAAACAAAAAAAAAATTTCATTGCTGTTAAATTAACTAGAAAATTAAGTGAAGACTGTTATAAAATAAGAAAAAAAAAATAATCAAAATATAATTGGAATATTAACTAAGGTTATTAATTAAATTAATTCAATTTAACAGAAATTTAAACAAAAAAACAATATTGTTAAATAAAATGTAATTGAATAGTATGTAGTTATAACATTTGAAAAATTTACATGAGTATATGAATGTGAATTTCTGAAATAACTCTTGAATTTTGCACAAGAAAAAAAAAATCAAATTTCTATTTAATTAATGATTAAAATACCATTAATCAAATGAAAATATTAATGAGTAAAATACCGAGTAAATATTATGCTGAGCGTCTGATTGAGTGCATATACTTGAAAAGACTTACCGATAAGAAAACTTATGGTGAAACAAAGAAAATTATAAATTATAGAGAAGATCAAAAGAAAAACAATTAATTACAATTTTCCTCCAATTAAAATTATAATAAATTAAAATATTTGTAATTTTCTATAGTTTTTTTTGTTTTTAAAGAAACAAAATGTAAGTAATTAACTGCAATATTATTTTTATAGATTTAATTAAAGAATTCATGTTATTCATAGTAGATTAAATTATAAAATTATGGTGTATTAGTTCTTTTTGCGGTTTAATAGCGAAAAATTTTATTTCTGAATACTTAGTACTTAATAAGATAAAAATTGCATATTACTTTCACCATCATATTAGAAAAAAAACATGAAAACAACACGGCTTATGACATTAAAAAATTAATAGATTGAAAATTTGGTTTATTCTTCCAATTTTATATTTAAAGATGATTAAATGTGTGGGATGCATTTTTTATATTATATTGAATGATTTATAATAGTGTTTGTAAAAGCATTGGTCATACATGCTTCAATAGTATAGCGTGATAAATAATTAAAAAATGGTATAGTTTTGCACCTGGTACAATTCTACCTACAAAACATTTAAAAAATATTTTCTATATATTATGTACAGTAAATATTCTGATTGCAAGTAATACTAATTGGTAAATAAATTCTCTCACATTTTCATATAATCCAAATTCATAATTCGGGCTTATTATTGTTTAACTTAACTTTAACGAAATCATTGTGAAGATGTAGAATACTTAGTGAACAAAATTATTAGAAAACTTAAATGGAGAAACCTTTGCAACTTACATTAACATGAGGGAAGTGTAAAACCCAAACACATTTACATGGGTGAAGTGTTAAAAACTAAAGATATTAGTTGTTTGAATTGTCGAATGTTGTTTATAATTTGATTACTTATAAGTTTATATTGAAGTAATTATGAATTTTGTTGTATTGTTGAAATTTATTACCAGTATATTATAACACTACCATGTTTGTATAATAAATATCACAGTAATAATAATTATAAAATATTAAATTCTTGGAGGATTTCTTATCATTTCTAGATCTTTATATTTTCTTTAACTCTTAAATCATTTTATTGTTGTCATAATATATTGGGTTGTCACATGATTTTAAAATTTCAAATACAATAAAATTATACAATTGGTTTTGATTTACGATCTGTTGAATGCTTGGCCAGTTGTTTGTTGTCTCACATTATGTATACCTAATTATACCTTGTTTTTAAGGATTTTACTGCGGTTTTTTAGAGGTTGTTTATTATTTAAAACACGTTTAGTGCAAAAAATAAAATCAAAGAAAATAAAATTTTTTTTTTGGGAATTTTTAGTAAATATTAAAAGTAACTACATACAACAAAAAATTTTTTCACCTTGAGATTTGATCTTAATACATTTAATTACTTGTCATATAAAATTATTTTATTGTTATTTAAAAGTGTTTTTAATATTCATTTGTTTTTGTCGTAATAAGAATTGTTTTCTATTGTAAAACAAAGTGCTTCTTCAGAGGCTTAAATATTTTGGTTTAAAAAATTAAGGAAATTTTTAAGAAACTATATATTTAAATTAAAATAAAAACAATCATGCTAAGAATAATTAATATTATATTTTTTTTTTTGTAAAAAATTATTTTGCGACTATAAAAATATTTTCGGTAAAAAATAAAGAGTCAAATAATGTAAAATTATATTATGCAAATGACGTCTATAATGTCATTAATCATGTAATAAACTATAGTACTTATACAAAGTAGATATAAAATTTTGTGGTCAAAATATTAATGAAGATGGGGCCAAAATAATAATAAAATAAAAAAAAAATTTATGATTTATTTGAAAATTTAAGCTTGACTTTATCATCTTTGACAAGTGACAAATGTTTTAATGTAAATTTTTATTTTTTGTTTCAATAATAAACTTTAAAAATATTGAATATGTCAAAATATTATGACAAATTTTACACATTATGTATGTATGTTGCATATAGTATAAATTATTTATTAGATTTCTGTTATAAGCTATATTATATAAAATCTTATTGAATTTCCTTTAAGCATTTTTAAAATTATTTTTGTGAAAATAAGAAAAAGTAACATAAAAACACGTTTGAAAATCATTAAAAATAAAGTATAATGCTCCAGGATTTTTTAAAAATTTTATAAAATATTGTAGTTACTCATATTTTAATGATGAATTTCATATATTTTGTGATTTGCTATAGTCAAATTGTATGTGCCTTTCAATAGGTATTAAATATACATGTACAAACAGTAAATTTAGGTAGTAAATAATTTGAGAGAAACTGAGAATTTATAATTTTTTAAGTTTGATATATTTTTTTCATTATAAATTTTGTATGACAATTATTTGACATGACATTATAAAAATCGTTTATTTAATACTTTTGATATACCTACATGATATTTAAAACTAAAATCTACTTTATACATAGTACTTATAATTAGTATTAAACATAGTACTTATAAAGAAAATTTAATTTGGGTGACAACAGCGTATAATGACGAATTTTTTAAAAAAAAAACTTAGGGACATTGTAATTAGTATTTTTATACGGAAAATAATAGTGTACCAAAGTCAAGTTCAATGAATATGTGAACATTCAATTAAAATGTCTGTTATTTATTGCAAATCTCTTTCCAAATTACATTTTAATAATATATTGGTACAAAGTCGTCATTCCTACATATTATATTATTAATATTGGAGATGAAATGCCAAAATTTTTTATTTAATAAAAATTTCTGCTATACGTAATATATGTACGTATAACTGAAAAATATTAATTAAAAATAGATTTTAGAGGAATCGTAAATTTCAAATTAATTAAAACGTTTACTAAAATTTTATTAAAATTACATTTGCCGACATTTTATATAACAATTTTGATTTTGCGTCGCATATTAATCTGTCATTATTTACATTACTTAATTAATATTAAACATAGACGGATAAATATAGATACATTTTTGACACAGATGTACACACATAGTACACACAAAATTTAATTGTTAAATTTATATTCTGACAATACTTAAAACTAATATTAATAAAATTTTGTTTTAAATACAAACTAATTACCAAAAAAAAAATTTATTAAGTAAACTTGATAATAAAATAATTTTGTTTAATGAGAAAGAAAGAGAAATGCAAATATCATTAATTGAAAAAGGTTGTTTTTTTCTCGTCTGTTTATTTCTAATTATAACCAAAATCTAACGTGTCGATCTCAGAATACCTGATTAAGTAACTATAGCAAAAATTCAATCACAAAAAAAAAACAACACAAAAAACGTAATTGAAGGAAAAAAATATGGCTTTATAATACCGGTTATATTTTTAGTCAAAAAAAAAAAATCTTTGGTACAAAAACAAAAATGTTAACCACATTATTAAGAAAGCGACAGGTAAATTTAAATAAATTTGTTCATAAAACATTATCGTGTATTTATTATTTATGTAGGTATATTTATGCATATATTAGTATTATTGAATATCAGTGACAACGCGGTACCGATATACTAGTTGATGTTTTATGAAAACTTTGAAATTTCGGCAATTATGGGTATGTTCACCCATTTATGATGTAGGAGATTATTTATAATTCAGATATGCACTGGAAGCTTTTAATTTAAACCTTGAAAGTCTTTTCACACACATTCTTCAGAAAGCTGCAAGTGTGTTTTACTTTCGTAGATTTTTAGTATACCCGAGTAATTCTTCAGTTTTCAACATTTTTCTAATTTATATTATTTTTACAGTAGTTATAAAAAAATTCCAATTCAAAAGCACAATAATTATAATTTTCGATCACAAGTTTTTTTTTGCAGATTTTGCAGTTTAGACAGTGTTTTATATTAGGACTTAAATTAAAACTGAATTATGGAAAATCTCCGTACTTATAGTAATTCTTAAGGTAGACGATTATATTTCTGAGGTTATTGTTTAAAAATTAAAATTAATGAAATATACTGAAAATATTACTGACGCCCAAACGAAAGATATTTTTTGTTAGTAAAGCAACCTATAGCGAAATAATTGAATTGGTCCTTGAAACTAACCAAATAAAAAAAAATCGAAAATATAACAATTTGATATCGAAAATATAACAATTTATCTTTCATTTGATTCTAGAAATATAAAAATTTTTCTGAATTTTTTTCGTGTTTGAGCGAATATTAATTGTGAAGCTTCGACTCTGACTAACAAAACTATGCAAATTATTTATTATTATAGTGTACAAACATGCATAATTTCTGTTTGAATAATTCAAAATGGTTATAAATAAAATATTTTTTTAAAATATGCACTACATGTATAACAATATCGCATTGAACAAATAATAATAATAATAAAATAACTGTACAAGTGTAACAAAAGAACAAAAAAATATAATAAAAAAATTTATTTTTATTATAAATTTTTTCTTGTGTTCACTGTGTGGTTTTTATGTGTTTCTTATTTTTTTTGTCACTACTCTTTACAAACCTTTTATAACACAATATTGTTATTGTTGATGGTGGGAAGGGTGTGTGTTGGATATTTTTACAAACCTCCTTGTATACTTCTGCTGTTAAAAAATAGAATAAAAGAAAAATAAAATAAATTGAAAACAAAATCTCACTGATCTATATTAACTTTTTCTTTTTATTTTTTTAAATTAAAAATTTTTATTTTCCGGATTATTTATTTATTTATTCTCTCTATTTACTCTTTTGCTCTCGATTTTTAATTCGCGTTCAATATGCGCTTACGTTGTTTTAAATTTTATTTATTGTGTTTAATGTTTAAAACAACTTTCGATTCTGAACTTGTTTTTTTTCATCTCTTTTTCTTAAATACTTTAATATTTTCTTTAAACTTTTGATTTTTATTAATAATTATTATGATTTTAAATATTTTATACTATTATCATTTAATAATTAACATGAAAATCCCGGAAAAATTAAACAAGGTAGAATTAAAGGGATTAAAAGTAAAATTTAAAAATCTGAAGAGAAGTGTGGCACAAAAATGTGTCAAAATTTTAGTGGCATTAAGTGTGAATGTCATAAATTTTATTATTAAATGTAATTAGAATTTAATAAAACTAAATTTTAATGTATTTCCTATTAAAAAAAAAAAAACTTAAAATTTTTTTACTATTTTGGACTTTACTTAGATTAGATTTGAATATTTTTTTTTGGAATTATTTAAAGTTCTTCATTTATTGATTTATGGTTTTATCAAATTAATCAATAATTAATTTTTTTTTTTTACAATTTCTTTATTACTACTCTTAAATTCATTGGAATTTTTTATGATAAAAAAAAAATAATCTTAAAAATCACTACTTGCTTTTTTCTGCGACGATTATGATTTTTATCCGCGTTTTACAAAAAAAAATATTTTTGCAGTTGTTAACGGTAACTACTGAAAAACGCAACTGATCGTTAATGCCTATTAAATAAGTTAATTTAAAGAAATTTTTACGAATATGGGAATGTATTTATACATATGGTATGCGTGTGTATGTATGTGTGAACTGAACAAATGAAATATAGAAGCTATAGCTAAAGAAAAAGAAAGAAAAAACAAATATAGAAAAAAAAATTTGCGATATTTTATTTGAGCTGAACGTGTAAAACGTATACGCTACGGTTATTCAAAAGCAAATTTAAGCTGTGAATAAAGATTGTGGAAGAAATAAGTGAGCTTTTTTGATTTGGGGAAAAAAGTTAATGATCTTCGATAGTGATAAGAAAAAATTTTTTGAGGAAAATCAAGTAATTTAAAATTTAAATAATTAAATTTTAAATAATTTTTGACTTAGAAGCTTTTCATAGTCGGATAACACATAAAATAAAATTATTTACAAAAATATTATGTTAATGTAAATTTAGGGAGAGAAAATGTGTTAAATAACATTTAAGTACATTTGGAATTTTTTATGTCAAATACAAATATTTCTGATGAGTTTAAAAAAAACGGTTCAAATATTTTCGTTTTTTGAGTTGCTAAACCGTACATTCCATGTAAAAGCATTCCATTTTAAAAATTGAAAGTGTCTAATTCTTAAAATTCATTAACATATTAGAAATTTGAAAATTTTAGTATAAAAAAGTTCTAAGTAAATTTTGGTATGCGAAATATTTAAATAATTTAAATTTTTTTAATAATTTTTAAATTTTTTATCCAAAAAATTTTCATTTTATCTGCATTATATAATTACCATTTTTTATTTAAATGGTATTAATTCAATATTAATAGTTGATAGTAGGTCAGAACTTTTAACATTCTCTTTAATTTTTTGATAAGCCATTTTATCGTAACAAGTCCTGATTAATTCAATATATGTTTTGTTTTCTCTTTCAAGTTTTTGCTTTTCGATTTTTAAAATTTGACATTGATTTTCGCAATGTGCCGTTCGATAAGTGAAATATTTAAGTTTTTCAATTTGATCTAAAATTTTCTACAAGTATTTAAGATAAAATTAGTATCATTAGTATTAGTAAAATTTAACTTTTTTAATGAAAAAGTATACCTGGGTATCATTGTAATTAATTACTTTTGAAATTGGTACATCCCTGTCTGTTGTTATTGGAAATGCTAATTCAGTATTGAAAATATTTTCATCAACTAATAATGGTGAAATTTTTTCCTTTTCTGTTTGATATTTACGACAAGTAAATGCGAGCCCAATGAAATGTTTACCATATTCAGTATATTTTTTTAAATTCTATTAAATAAAATATGTTTGTGAGTATAAATTTTAATTACTATATCGAATGCTGGGCAAATATTATAAGGTACCTCAATAATATTGTAACATTCTGTTGCTAAAAAATTTATATTACGGTCACTTATTTCACTAAAATTTTGAATTTTTCTCCTAAGATTTAAATATTTTAATTGTTTTGAATGTCGTTCTTCCTTTAATTTCATTTCTTTCTGTTGATATTGCAGAGTGGTTTTTGTTAATTTCTTCTGCAGTTTAAACACAGTTTTCAAACCGTTATCAGCAATTTGTCTACTTTTTTTTAAATCACTTTCATATTGGTTTTTCTTGGTTAGGGCAAACGTTATTTCTTCCTTTATCTTTGCATTAATTGTGTTTTCTTCTAAATCCAAAAATATTTTTTCTAATTGTTGAAATAAAATATTCATTTTTTCAATTGCCATATCACGTATTTTACATTGTTTTAATTTATTTTCATTTGTAATGTCTTCTTTCTTAAGTCTGTGTTGTTCTTCAGCATTTTTAATAGAAAATTCAGATATTAAATTGTCGGCGTGCATTAAATTTTCATAATATGTACGAAAATGTTCAATTGCTTTATTACGATTGTGATTTTCATCATAAAAATTCGAAATAATTTCAAAAGCTTCAATTTCATAGATGTTTTTAATTGTTTCAATCATATGCTTGCAAAAATCTAAAAGCAAGAGCAAAATGGTTAAGTATGAGTTTTTATTTTAAAATAATATTGTTATTTTTATTTTGATAAATTTGTAAATGAATACTTTCGGCTTGGTGATTACTATCTTGAAATTCGTAAATGTAGCGGGTTGTATTTATCGAAATTTCACCGTAAAGAAACAAAAATTAATCCAAACTAGAATTAGAAATGTCAAAGGTTTAATATTTGACATTCATTTTGTAAATAAAACTTAGAAGCCATCTGTCGAGATAAATGATAAAATAATTCCGGCTTAGTATACTCGTAATGCACGTTTACTGTTCCAATTGTCAGCAGTTAGAAGTGTTGTGCGGGAAACAGCCGTTATATGTCAACCGTTGTATAAGTTGTTTAATAATATTTTGGAGATTTTGAATTTCGATAACCGTTATTACATTTTGGGTAACAATAAAACTGCAAATTCTTGAACTTATTGACATATTAATAAATTATAGACGATATAATTTTTGACTTAATATTCCAAAATTATTTTATTTCGATTTCATTTTAAAATTTCGTTTTAAATTTCAAATTAATTTTATGTCAAAATTTTTTTTTTTAAACTTTCGAAGCGAAGGTTTTTCTTATTCAAATAACAAAATACACATTTTTAAAATTATTTATTTTTATGATTGTATTTAATGTAACATATAACAATACTTCAATTAGTACCGAATATTAAAGGAAAACCAATCAGAAACTTTATTGATTTCAATTGATTGAAAATGACTGAACAAAGTTATTATGAACCTAAACCTCATTTATCGCAAGGACACCAACCAAAGCATAAAAACAGGAAATCTAAAGAAATTGAAAGTACTTTGAATAAAGATTTAAAAGATTCATTGAACGAGTTTTTAGAAAATAAAATTAAATATTTATGTGATAAACTCCGAGTTATAACTGAAGAATTAATGCGAATATCTATGGATGAGTTAGAAAATGAACCTTTACAATGTGATAATGAAATTGGCAAAGAACAATATTCCGAATCAAATAATTTGCAATATTTGGAACAACAATTTAGATATCAAAATTCAGAGGCTCAAAAATTAAGAAATCAACAGTTTTTCAAAAATCAACTCGAACCTGCACCAAGAAGGGTCGCGAAAAAGGAATCTATTTCAAAAATACCAGAATTAAATAAAATTCCTGATCAACCGCTTTTGAACTTCTGTATTGCTACCAAAGAAGATGAAGTAAATTTCTTATGTACAGAATTGGGGATAACAAAAGATGAATTCACTAAATTACCGCGTCATGATTTAGCGAAAAGATTCATGCAAAAAGATTTTGGAACCTTTGAAGAATTTATGAAAAGATTTGCTGAAAGTTTAAATTTAAAACAGAATAAGAAATGCGAAGAGACCAATGAAAATGAAAAAGAAAAATTGAATTGTAAAAATGATATACCAACGCCCTCAGAGAACAATTCAACAACAAGAAATTCAAAATTGTTGAACATTTTACAAAAGAAAGAAAAAATTCCAATACCAAGTTCATATGATGATGATAGCAATCCCTATTTAACAAATTCAAATCCAATAATTCCAAAAAATTTAAATATGGAAAATTCGGAAATTCAACAAGAACAAATATTAGAATTTGCAGAAAAAAGTTCAATTACGTCCTCAATATCAAAATGTCAACAATCAAAATTGAATTTACTTTGTGAAAGACTTAACATTACTCTAGAAGATTTGGGAAATATGAGCGCTGAAGAATTTTTAAATCAAAAAATTTTTAATTTTGAAAAATTTGAAAAGCGTAAAACTGGTGGAGCTGGCGGCAGTGATGAATGTTGTGATATTAAAGCAGAAAATTTTTTAAATTTTTTGTTAAAAAATGTTTTTCCTACTTTAAATTCAAGTAGTAGTAGTAATAGTAGTTCTAGTGCGAATTTAGGATCAACTAGAAAGAATATTTCAAAAGAAAAAGATTCAAAGTGCTTTCGTAAACTCCGTAAGAATATGAATTGTTTGGAAAATTCTGATATATCACAATGTTATTTATTTTTACCAGGTCTAATTTTATCGAATAAAAAATGTTGTAAAATTGATTTAGAATGTGCAAAAAAAATTATAAAAGAAAATTTATCATAAAATATTTCTGCAATAATATGTTGTTTTTC